GAGCCCCTCGGGGACACCCGGCCCTCCACCATCCGCAGCTGAAGCCTCGAAGCTTTTGTCCCGGTGCTGCATCCAGCACCAAGCGAGGCGGAGGAGCCACCATCGGCGTGTGGGTGACGCCGCAGTTTGGCCGGATCAGTTGAAGAACTTTATTGCAGCTGGGGAAAGCTCGCTGGGTGCTCAGCAGTGAAGAATAAATCGGGCCCTACAGTGCACGTCACCTCTAAAGCACTCCGGAAGAGGAGGACCGAGACTGCTTTTTCTAACCATAACGCCGAGGTTAAGGTCTGTCTTTTCAAAAGGAATCCATGAGCTCAGGGCTTACATTTCCAACGAGACTTCTCAAGCGGATCTTACTTTCAGAAGCGTGAACAATCATCCTTTGAGAAACTAAGTCTTTTATGAAAAAAAAAAAAATATATATATTTTTTTCCCAATGCAGATTGGAGTGATCAAACACAGGAATTCCACAAGACAATTAATCAGCACTCATCTCCTGGCTTCCAAGCCTTTGCAAGATCCAGTACAAACTGACGCAAGAGATGACAAACAATTAGTTTCAATTTCTGTAATAGTTACTATTAATAGAACCCTTTCCCCAGCCCGGCTGGTAGCTGGCTGCCGCGTTCCTCACTCAAGCACTCACGCCCGCTGTAGTTACCCACGATTATAAAAGCGGAGGCAGAAGCCCATCGCCCGGCAGGGACGTGCGTTGCTCACCAGGGCCTGCGCTCTGCGTTTTGGCGTACGCCCAGCCAAATCCACAGCGAACCAGTGCGAGTTCCCGCGACTCCCTGAAACTGCAGCAGTTTAAAATGGGACGTGGCGTGTCCTGCCAGTAAGAGGGCTGTTCTTCCCCCCAAGTCCCACTGAAACAGAGTTGGGCCTATGTCACTCATTTAAGCCTCTTCAGTGCTACCAGTTAGGACCACACTGGTCAGTTTATTAACACAGTTTAATGCTTCAAATGTTGCTTTTCAAAACGCCAACGCAAGCAGAACACAAAAACATTGTTTGCCGTATTTATTTTTTAAACTAAGCTCTGAATTATACAAGTGTAAAAGTGATTAGTTAGCCAATAGCTCTTTAATACTCCTATAAAATATGACTAAATAGAGTATTTCAAAAGTATGTACAATAGAATGGAAACGCCAACACAACCTGTCACAGTGCTCAGACGTACCGCTGTAATCAAGCCTTGCAAGGCGGCGCAGTCCGTTACCCTGTGCAAGGAACAGCCTGTCTTCTTGCAGAAAGCTTTTTCGCTGTTGCTGAATGGGAGGGAGGGAGGGGGGAAAAAGACCAAAATAAAAGCAACCCACCCCTCCCTCCCGCCCAATTTAGGATCAAGGAAATGTTAAACAATTTATCCACGGGGCACGTTTTTGTAATATAAAGCACTTTACAGTAACTACCTCTGTAGCCTTGTTATGGTGGAGGAAGGGAGATTCTTGCCACATTTTCTTGCTGAAAACAACGTGTACTTGAGCGTGTGTGTCTATGCTAGGAAGGGGGGAGTTTGTACTACTTTGTCCTAATTACAGAAATCAAGGCCACAGAAATTCTTGTTTCTTTTGTTCCAAAAGAGCAGATTCCAAAATACCCTTTCTCCGTGCGCTGTAAATGTTTTCATCTTTGTAACTGTACTTAGGAAGTCATTAAAATTTCTGTTTCCATATCTGAAGAGGTCAGAAGGGACAAGCAGGCAGCGGGCAACAGAAACAGCGACTGTTTCTTCGCTGATTTCCTCCTTTGATTTCCAAGCAGCAGCAGGAGCAATGTCCACCCGGCGGAGGGCCCCAGGGCATCGCTGCCAGCCACTCCCACAGGCTCCTGCTTTGGAAAGGAAATTAAACGGGCGTCACCTCCGTCGTCGTGCAGCAGAAGCTGTACTGTGACCCCGAGGTTTCACTCTGATTTATAGTATCACGACATGAGGGAATCGGCTTTAGCACTGCAGACGCCCCGTGACAAGTGCCAGTCAGAGGGACCGAGCGCATGGATGCTACAGGACAGAGAATTCCCACCGAAGCAGGAGCTCTGCCTGTGACTTACAGGCTGAAACAGGACAGTCACTCTTCCAGATGGAAACAGGACAGTTACTCTTTTTGAAAGAAGCTTTTCTTCCGCATGGGAGAGAACCAGCCTTCAGCAAAACACCAGCTTCTCTTAAGAGTGACAGATGCTGTTACTTTGATGGTGGAGACATTATTCCATACTGCCCGAAACATTTTTCCATTATGTCCATTATTTTATCAGTTCAAGGTGATCCATAAGCTTTGACCGTAGTTACAACAGGCTGCTTTGGGTTTTCAGGCTTGTAGCTGTGTTTCTGTTTCCGTGCTTTAACCAACGAGCCGTGTTCCACTCCCGGGTGGCACTACACAGTCTTCGAAAGACAAAGCGCAGTCAGTGAACGGGGCCTGGTCTGAAATCTGTCTGAAAATGCACTTTGAGGAAAGAACATTTAAGATCCAAAGCTTGAATTTGCCATAGAGTTTCAAATCATTCGAGGCCGAAGCCCGTAGGTCAGAACCAAGTCTCTCCATGGTTTGAGTGCACGGATACAAGGACTAGATTCGTTCTGTCAACACTTTTGCAAGTAAAAAATCTAGAGCGTCAGCTTGGACTGGAGTTGATCTCTGATCGCTTACGTCAGCTGAGGATGTGGCCAGTAATTCCTTGCACACAGCACATACCAACAAAAAATCTTGTGTGTTTAAGTCTTACTCTCCCTGTTTATGCCAGTCTAAACCCCATGGACCTTAGCGTTCTGCAGGTTCTCAACACGGACAGTGCTGTTACTCCCGAAATACTGTAGGTGGCCTATGACGGTGTTTTCAACAGGAACATCGGGTTATAGCAGAGTCTATAGCATAGACACGTATGTCCTAGGGTAGCGAGTGACAACTGATTTATTTAAATCAATTCTAAACGCACCACTGAAAAATAATTGAAGTGAAACCTGTAAGGAGTTACTTTAAGACAACTTTACACAGATATCATGAGGATGCTAAAGCCCCATTTTTTGTTCAGTTTCTGCTGTATTTAATGTGCTTCTATTAGTGTAACACACGCACGACGATGCCCGTAATGCAGGAACAAGTATCACGTTATAGATAGATGCTAAGTAAAGCACTACATCTCCACAGGAATATGAGGCGGCTGTGGCGGTCAGAGAATGAACTGTATGAGAATGGTAAGTCCTCATTCTCAGAACTCCTCACCATGCTCGCTGAAAACGGCATCTCCTGTCCTCACCGACAAAGCAACACGGTTTTCTTCCTGGAAGAACTGCAGAGCCAATACCCCAGGCAAGGGCTACATGGCTCTGCTGAAGCTTGTAGCCTCACTGCTAATTAAGGGTGGAATGGAACCTCTCTCAGAAACCAGAGCATTATGTTTTATGACAAAAGCCTAAGCTGGCTTTTCAGATCCTCGAATGAGCTTCCAAGATCTATTGACTTATTTTAACTTGTAAAGGATTTTAAACCGTGGAATCTCACTGTGCCGTTTTAGAGTCACTTTTGGGAGTAGAGCTGCAGCTAATTAGCTTAAAAATCCCACCGTACCTTACACATATGCTCAGTTTTCTGCAGTATTCACTTCAGTGGACCTACTCATGTGCATAACTTAAGCGCATGCTTAAATATATGCAAAATCTGAGCTCAGATGTCTAGAAAATATGTTCTCAAAATTACAAATATGCATTAAAAAAAATCATGGGAGGTCTGCCAGACAGGGAATCCAGTATGTGTCTGCTGTCAGCCATGATAAAAACACAGAACGCTTTTTGTAACCCAGTATACATAGCAAGTGAAAGAAACATGCAGGACAGTGAAAAAAGGGGTTTCAATTGCATGCAATCTAATTTCAAGTGTGTAATCATGGTCCTGTTTTCTTTGGCCTAAAAAAAGAGAGAAAAAAAAAAAAAAAACAGCAAAAGAACACCAACTAACCTCTCCTCACCTCCACAAACCCAAACTGCATACAGCTAAAAAAAGGCTTTAAAGCATAGGAAGTGGGGAGGGAAAAGGTCTGAATATTAGAGATGTGTGAGTAACTACTAACGGTTTCAGGGCTATTCAACACACCACTAGGAAAGCATTCAGCCTGTATCATTACTAGAACTTACAGCTATGACAGAGAGCAATGAACCCCATCGTGAATGAGCAGTCAGCTTGTCTTTCCTCCTCAAACTCAGCAAGAAGTACCACTCCTACCGTCACGGAAGATAACATGACTATCCCTATCGATATTCTAGCTCCCTCCTCCTTGGAGAGAAGGACTGGAAGACACCAGACCCTCCAGCAAGCTGCTGCCTCTCCCCTCAGCCCAGAAAGCTCTGTCCCGCATCCCTGCCACCATTCAGGATCAGTGCACTCTACAGCTGTTGGCGGAAGAGGGTGTTTTTCTGCCGTTTCTAAAAACGTTGCAAAAATAGTATTCCCTACAGAAAATTCCAGGGGGATGAAAAGGCCACCAGGCTGCTAGTAGATTAAAAACAACACACATACCCCCCTTTAAAAAAAAAAAAAAAAGAAAGAAAAAAGGAAAAAGGGAAAAGACTAAGGGCTGCTGGGGAACTGAGGAGGTCAGAGGAGCAGGCTGCTCGATGAAGGGCAGTGGCAAGTATTCTGGGAGTCTGAGTATCGAGCCTGATATCGGCCTAATTGCCCACCCTGAACAATCTCTCTGGTAGTGGTGTTTCAGCATGCAAATTATAGCTGTGAAAAAACCCTCAGACTGAAACCCTCCCTTGCTTCTTCAGCCTCGTTTTTGTCCTTTCCAGAAAAATCTATTAGTTGGTGTGTGATATGGTTACATATACAAAGATCTTTTTCCTAGCCCTTTTATTACATAGGCTTGATTACCGTGAAGGGATCTCAATGAGTTTAATGTCCTGGTACTCAAAAGGCAATGGCTGCCTCTCAACAAAACGAAGCGAACAAAAAACGAGCTGTGCTGGAGGAGAGAAGCGCTGCTTCTGCCGGAGAGGCTCAGTTAGATACGGGAGGTGGCAGACCAGGGCGTCGAGTTTGAATGATTTTTGGCTTTGGAGAATTCTTTGGGTCCTCGTCTTCTTCCATGTCGCTGTCGCAGACATGCACGACCACGCTGGGAGTGGACTCTGTTCCTGCGTGCAGCTCGTATTTCTCTCCTGGAAGCAGAGAAAAATAGTTAGACCAAAAGATGCCAGTCTGAGTAGCAGCGCAGACCATGGCGCTCTTGGACTGCAGAATACCCCTGCACCTGGGTAAGGCAGAGGGGCGTGTGCTGCTCCTAAATACAGGTCAGGGCAAGCATGGCGAGACTGTATCGGCTGTCACAACAGATTCTGGGGATCCCACCCCTGGGGGGCAGTGAGTGTTGGTTTGTAAGGTGTAATAAAATACCCCGGTGTCTACAGTGGTGTTTTGCACTATGAGTGGCCATCAGCACTGAAAAAAAATGAAAGATGTGAAGAGGAGAGAGAACACAGAAGTTCATGGTTAAGAAGAGGGGCTGGAATCCAACCTATCAAGTTCAAAGTCATGTCACATCTGTTGGGTTGGGGCTACGCTTTTTCATTCTTGTTGTTTTCTTCCAGTCTAGCATGGCTCCAGTCCCATTTAAAGTCCACTACATTCTGCAACTCGTCGCCTCCAGACAGACATCACCGCTCGGGCCAATTGCTCCAGAAATAAAATACTACGTATATCTGCTCCAGACGGATTTCAGGTTCAAAGCCCTTCAGCTGGGGCTGTAACAAATTCTGTCTCTACAGATGAGATTACACGGCACAGCCTACAAATGCTCACTAACAGGCTAAACACTTACACAGTACATCGGATTTTCTAACTATGCACATTCCTTTTTTAAGTCTCCACCCAGTACTCCTGCGAGGAGGATGAATATGGCTTAGGTGGTTATTACCTGCAAAAGTCCACAAGCAAACAAAGGAAAACCAGGATCAGGCATAGGACTTCCAGTCCTGTACTCAGTCTGTTGGCGCTACACGAGTTTTGGATTGTACACAGGATGTCAGTAGGTATTGGTTATTAAATTGCAAGGAATTAATTTAAGATTGGAAAGAAAAAAAGTCCCAACGGTGACATTTCTGACAGGCTGACTGGGTCTTTCAGAAGTGACAAACCCCCATTCGCAGCCATAAAAGCTAGGAACCATTCCACATAACGCACCGCACTCCTTTAGACTAATTGTCATCACTCTCCTCTCCAACACCCATAAGCCACAGTGAAATTAAAAGAGGCTTCCAGTGACCACACGTACATCCATAGCTTGGATTTCTTTTTGGGCGAGACTGCTCCAGAACCACTGCCTATTGCCTGCAAAATATCCTGAGACGAGGAAGGTGAGGTCCCACTGCACTCGCTGACCTGTAATTGCGGCACAGCAGCACCTCAATGCCGGCCCCGCAGGCAGAACCCAGCACCGCTGGGTGTTGGACAGTCAGGGAGATGCCAGTCCCCACCCCAAAGCACTCGCAGTTTGCTCGTGTTCCTAATCTGGATTTTTTTTTTTTTAGCAACTTGGTGGCAGAGGGATTCATGTGAGGAAGGGGTTGCAGGTTTGGCCCTGCATTAGCACACGCAGTTCTGGGACTGTGCTCACGTGGTATTTGTGCTGACAAATTCTTGGTCCAAATAAGACTGGGTGGCTTGCGGCTAGAGGACGTGCTGCATTTTTGCCTAAAAAACAGGAGGCAACTAGTGAATAATAGCTGTATGTCAGGCATCTTGCTGCGAGAAATATTTTACAGCTGTGATACCATTAATGTTGACATTTAACTGCTCTATTTTTGGCAACCTCTCCTCTGAATCCAAATTGAGCAAAGCATTACAGGTCTTGCTGATAGGCTAAAATATAAAAAGAGAAATAGCTTGGTTGTGCTGCATTGAGAAATTATATGGTTTTTCTGTGCCTGTTTCCCCTGCGGGCTTCAGCTAATTTCTCAGCTATGGGCTGACGTCAACGCTGCCACCCAGCACTGAAGGCTCCATTGGTCACTGTCAGCTACAAGCAGCTCTGCAGCGCTGCGCACACGCAGCGCCGGGCCCTTTCCTCACACACCAGCGCCACGAAGTAAATCAGATTCACTGCCCTCTTAAAAGGTAATAATCCCAGTTCAAATGCCACATGCTTTTACTGTTCAAATCCTTCCCAGAAGGACTCTTTCTGCTGAAAAAGAACAGTGGAAATAAGTACAGACACAAGGAAAAATAATCAGATGCCTCTGGCACAAGTAACTGCAGCAGCAATTAATGTCACTTTGCAAATCAAAACGTGATGCATCCATAAATTAGGTTTTTAAGGCATACAGTTATTTCTGAGCATAAATGAGCTGCAGGCTCAGTTCTGTACTCCCAATTATTCATGCCTGCAGAACCGAGGCTCAAACTGCAGAAAACCTTTTTATGGCTCAGCTGGGAAAAGGCCAACAGTAGCTTGGGACTTTTATACAGCTGTGCCTTGTTCCTAACTGTAACCATTGTTTGCAGAAAAATACTAAGTACAAAATAAAAATCAGATAGATACAGCCAGATTACCCTTTCCCTTCTGCTTTCTTCTATGTTTTTTTCTTTCCTCTTAAACAACACCTCCAGCGTAAAAAAACCTGAGCTAAACCCACAGCAGTTAAGCTCATGGAGTAATGGTTGAATCCCTGCAATCGAGTTATGTTTACAAGACGTAGATTGTCCCAAGCTCTGAGCAGCAAGTCGAGTTAGCACAGTTACGACTCACCAACTTCTGTAGCTAATGTCACTCAAGCATTTGGCCAGTCATCTCATTCGGCCATCTCTGATGCTGCCTCCTTGGTGTTCTCAGGCCCCACACTGCCCCACTGCTCCTGCTTCTCCCACTTGCCTGGAGAACTTTTACAGGCTAAGCCAACGGATTCTTCGGAGAGAGGTTTCTTTCTCCTCCGGCAGTCTTTGGGCTACCTCTATCCCTTAATAATATGTGGTGTAAATATTCACATAAGCTGCGATAACAATGGAAACTCACATAAATTTACTCAGAAAAAGATCAAAATTGTATCAAATATGCTTGACCATCTAAACTTTGCCTTCAGGATATAATGCAGGGAAGAATTAAGCTGTGGCACCTCCACCATATAGATTTGTCAGGAAATGTTCTTAACAAACCCCTGAAAGTAGAAGCGATGTTCCTCTTATAAGGAAAAAAATAGGAATTTGAAATTTCATCACTCAACAACGGGCTTAGCTGCTTTTGTGTCACTGGGCACTACCTTTTGTGACCACATTAACCGCAAGCAAACCCACAGCCTCAGGGGACACAAGAAAGATGCCCACAAGAACAGCACAAAAGCAACTTATGATTTCAGAACTGAAGAGAGTGGCACGTGATTTTCTATCCCTTTGTGAATCAGTATGCTGACCTTTCATTGACTGTCCATCCCTTGTCTAATGAGGCACTTTGTCCAGCAGAGTATGTTCATGTACTTAATTAATAATGAAGAAATGGTAATGATACTGTGCAGCTACCTCAGCCCTGATTCTGACTCATGATCAAAGGTTAATGGGTTCAGAGCTGTCCATTCCATGTTAAACGTGTCATTAGCATCACAAAAATACCTTCCACTTATAGTCCCTTCATCCAAGTGCGTTACAAATAATGGGTGGTGCTCGTTTATGCCAGAAGAGACACAACCCATTCCATGTAGTACCTCCACTGCACAGATCTGCCATTTGCTCTCTGGAGTCCGTTACTGAGGCTGCAGGAGAAGGGCACGCTCCTCTCCCGGTCGGCAGAGCAAGGCAGAGGCAAAGCTTTCTACACCCAGCAGCTCTCCTGTACCCTGCCCCTGGTAAAGGGAGGGGAGGGCAGAAGCAGCCACAGAACAGAGGGGAAAGGAAGGACAGAGATGGAAAATTTTGTCTATCACTCATCTGCCTGCTCCTCCACTCCCTCTTAATCCTCTCTGGAAGCCATGTGAAGTATTTAGTATTTCCTTTGAATCAGTAAGAACAAACATGAGAGTTTGAAAACATCTGGGCATAGAAAACGTGCCGTGTGAGACATGGTCTGAAATCCCCGTGTGTCGCATTTACTGGGCAGGTCCTGCTCTTCCCTGTTTGCCCCTTCCCCGTGCAAGGGTGAGCCAAACCCAGGGCACAGCAGGGGAATGAGCTACGCATCCTCCTCAAGAAGCCCAGCTAAAGCGTGGCAGCAACAGCTCCATCTTAATTGCTCAGAGACAAAAATGAAGCCCTGAGCCAACTGCTCCTTTGGCCACTACTTATTTGCAGCCAGCAGCCAAAGGCACCCTTAGCAACCTCAATTTAATGTCAAAAGACCAAATCCCAGCTTCCTTTTGTGCACAGCAAAAAGAAATCTTTTCTGTTAGACCTCTGAGATGCCAGACAGTCGTTGCTGCAGCCACAAGGCTGCAAAGAAAAAAAAACCCAACAAAGAAAAAACCCAGCCCAAAACTGGGCATGGAACAAGACAACACACGGCAAGTTTGTTAAGTAGCTTCTGGCCTATTCATTTCACTCTGGAGCGACTCTCCCAGCCTTTGCACCCAGGGGCAGTTTTAATCTCTAATTTTGCGGCTGTGACGATTATGGCAGCACCCTGGGAAAGGAGATGACCTGTACTCATGGAATGGGAAAGTAGGGTGGGTCTGTGCCCCAGTAGTGCATCTTGCATTCCCAGCGAAGTAGGCCAGTAAAAGTCATCTGGTACTGAGGACAAAGAAACTGTTCACTGTTTACACACCCAAATGAGTTTTCCTGGTCCTCAGATTTAATCTTACCCAATCAGTGTATTTACTATGTATTCACAAGTTAAAGACACAGAAGCCAGGCTCTAACATTCAGAGTTCTGTAAATGAACGTGCCAGTGAGTATTTTTTGATAGCTGATGAGCCATAGTTACATTTTTTAATTGTGGTTTTTGAATGGAAAGAAATCATAGTTAGGTGAGGCTAACAGCGTTATCTGATGACAGCAGTATGTTTCACTGATGTGATACTAAGAAATGAGTTTTGGTCAGATTTGTTTTCCAATTACATTCTAAACATAGTAAATGCACAACTGAGAACTGCAACACTATTTTAAAACCACCACTGCAGTTAACTAAAATTGATTTCTCTAACAAGTGCTAAAAATAGAAAGAAGAGAGCACACAATGACTTTTCATACTGCTCCCTGCAGGCTCCTTAAACACGGGTGAATATGACCTTCACGCAAAGCTGTCCCAGAGTGTGGGACAATGAGTGATATTTCACATTCCACTGCTCTAGAACAGGAATTGATTTATTACCCAGCTAGCCAGGGAATTCGTTTACATGTTTCCATTTATAACACTGCTGCATCAAAGGGGAGGAAAAAAAAAAAAAAAAAGGACTTTTTTGTTTTTCTTTTACTCAGCAGTTTAGAAGCAAAGCATCAATTCTGGAAATAATAATATGCAATATAGTACCAAGT